GGTTGAGTGACTGACTCTTGATTTTGGCTCAGGTCATAATCCCAGGGTCGTGGGATCTAACCCTGTGTCAGGCTCTGTGCTGAGTGTGGAGCCTGCTTAAAATTCTCTTTCTCTCGCTCTCCCTTTGCCCCTATGCCTCTCTCTCTCTCTCTCAAAACAAAACAAAACAAAAACAAAAAACTAGACAAATTGATACTAAAATATTTGTTAGCACCCAAGAAAAGGCAAGAGACTCTTAAAAAAGAAAAAAAATAAATTGGAAAAACTTCTCTACTGGAGGTCAGGAAGAGCTATAATAATTAAGACAGTGTAGTATTGGCACCAGGATAGACTAATTGATCAATGGAATGCCATAGGAGTCCAGAAACAGATTCACATGCATTCAGACAATTTATGACCCAGAAAGCATGGCAGTTGAAAAGCAAAACAATAAAGCTTTTAGAAGTTAGTTAATATAATAGAATATATCCATGACCTCAGTATAGGTCTTGAATATTGAATCTGAGATAAGATGTTACCTGCACTGATAGAATAATGGGCAAAAGTCTTGAACAGGCACTTCAGAAAAGGAGATATCCAAATGTCTAATAAACCAATAATAAGGTGTTCAACCTTGTTAATAATTTAGGAAATGCAAACTACAACCAGAGTGCCGTATTCCTGTACACCTAAATTATAGTTGGCAATACCAAATTTTGAAACTGTTGAGCAATAGGAATATTCATACCTGGCTGATTCATAAATTGCTATGACTACTTTGGAAAGCAGTTCGGTATTATCTAGAAAGTAAAACATAAGCAGTCGCTAAAGCCCAACAATTCCAGTGTTAGAGAAATGCATGTACATGAGATAACCAGAAAGTATATTTGGAGTAATTAGTTTTCCTGATATGAGTTGACTCAGTTAACACTGAGTATTTGAGGCTGCTATTTTCTGTTCTGTACGCATAGGTACCTTTTGTTTTGGTACAACTGTGAATTAATGTTATTTATATTTTCCCTTTCTGCTGAAAAGTTTAATACAATCTTCCATCCAATCTGTTATTTAGTTCCTAAAATAATGATGGGCACAAAATTAGCATTTAATAAATACTGTGTTTTTAAAAATTATTTGAATTTTTATAATTTTTATAGCTTTGTAGTTACCTCAGCTCTCTGACCCATTTAAATCTCTTTGTGGGTTTGGTAAATTATAACCTCCTCGGGTTCCTTTGAGATCCAGCCTAGCCTAGTGATTGCATCATCTGGTAGGAGGCCAAGGCGACAGGAGCAGGTCCAAACCAAGTGTGCGTTCTGGCAGCCTTGCCTAGGAGGACGCAGGGGAGGAGAGAAGGAAATGATCAAGCTCTGGAGTCAAAGCGATCTGGGTTCAAATCCCACTTACCAGCCTTATGACCTTGGACAAGGTCACATTTTTGGTTGTTGTGAAGATTGAAATTGACTAATTTTTTTTTAATGTTTACTAATTTTTGAGAGAGAGACAGAATGAGCAGGGGAGGGCCAGGAGAGAGGCAGACACAGAATCCGAAGCAGGCTCCAGGCTCTGAGCTGTCAGCACAGAGCCTGATGCAGGGCTCGAACCCACAAACAGTGAGATCATGACCTGAGGCTGAGGTCGGATTGCCCAATCGACTGTGCCACCCAGCTTCCCTGAAATTGAGTATTTTTTAAGTTTTAATTTTATTTAAAATATTTATTAAAACATTTAAATAGAAAGAAGAGGAAGAGGCTCTGAAGCAAGCTCTGTGCTGACAGCAGAGAGCCTGATGAAGGGCTTGAACTCACAAGCAGTGAGATCATGACCTGAGGCAAAGTCGAAAACTTAACAGATTGAGCCACCCAGGAGCCCCAGTTGAGTATTCTTTTTTTTAAAGACCATCTCACAATGCCTGGCATGTGATAGGTGCTAAGTAAATGGCAATAGCTATAATTATTACTACTATTCCCTTGGTGTTTACTTACTCAACTTTGGATTTCCACAGTATACATTTTCATTAAGATGGACTATGATTATGCTGAATTTTAAAATAAAAAACTGCATCCATTAGGGGATTCTAATTTTGTGGTTTCTGTTAACTACTTCATTGAATTTGCAAATGAATCCAATGTGTTATAATCTACATTTGAATGAAATGGTTCAGCTGAGTGTTTGAGAGTAGATATGGCTGCGATTTCTAAACAGGAATGCAATGCCACTATTTTGTGTCTCTCTATGGAAGTAAATGCTAATCAGGTAGTTTTAAAATTCAGTTTTAATTTGAAATATACACATTTTCTTTTTTGAAATATACATATTTTCTTGTGAAACCTATCAGTTGAGAGAACCCTTGCTTATAGTTAAGAGATATTTATTCCCAAATCAATTGTTTAATTATGAAAATATATTAAAATGCCTTTTAATTGGAAGTAAGACTTTTCTGGATATATCTTCATGATCTAACACTTAACCTGTGGTGATTATAACTTAATAGTTATTAACACTTGTAATACACTCTATGCTGTTGTACTGTATTGTAACTTTCTACTTGCCTTCAGATTCAATATTTTCACCTTGCTCTGTACTTTAAGAATTGTCCTCCATTAAAAAAGAAAGGAAGGAAGGGAGGGAGGGAAGAAGGGATGGAGCAGGGGGGGGGGTTGGGGGGGCGCCTGGGTGGCTTACTCGGTTAAGCGTCCGACTCTCGCTTGGGTCGTGATCTCGCGGTTTGTGGGTTCGCGCCCCGCGTGGGGCTCTGTGCTGACTGCCAGCTCGGAGCCTGGAGCCTGTTTCGGAGTCTGTGACTCCCTCTCTCTCTGACCCTCCCCTGCTCACGCTGTCTGTCTCTCTCCTAGAAATAAATTTAAAAATATTTTTAAAAAAAAAAAAAAAAGAAGGGATGGATGGGGAGAGAGAGAAAGAAAAATTGATGATCGATCCTGGCTTATAGAAGGTAATTGTGAATACTAGACCATGCTGGCCTCCTATAGTTAGTTTGATTAAGATGGAGGAAGTTGAAATTTGAAGAAGGTTGAGTTTTGATTATAAGTCTTAACTATACGCCAGGAAGATAGAGTTTTTATGAAGGCAAGAACTGCTTCACCATGTTATCTGTCTGGGCTCACCATCATGTTAATCAAATGCTGGTTTTTGACCATTCAGTGTTTTATATTTAAATTTGCAAACAAGGGACTGAGGTTGAGAAGTGAAAATTTGAAAAGAAACATCAGGTGAGACCCACGTTAACCTGTTGTGGGGAGAGTGAGTTGGATATAAAGGGAATTACTTCAAACTAATATGTTTGCTTCTTAGTCCTGAGTCTATGCGGTGATCCCACCTATTTGAACAAAAGGCTGTGTATGTTTCAGGAGTTGAGGCAGCCTGAACAGGTAGTCACACTGTTTCCTCTTGTATTAAATACATGGTGTTAAATAAGGAAAGTTGTGTTCTAGAATAATTTATTGCAACCAACTTTAATATGAAATTCTTTTTTTTTTAGTTAAAACAACTTGAGGTACTTGAATTTAAAGAGACGGCTTAGCTCTGCCCCTCCCCTGCTCGCTTTCGCTCGCTCTCAAAATAAATAAATAAATATTGAAAAAAGAGAGAGAAACAGCTTGATACTTAAGATTATGCCACTTTACATTATCCGGTATTTTATCCTAACAACTTGGGATTGTGATGGTTGAGTCACCGTGACTACCAAGAACCATCTGTATGGAAGGCTTTAGGCCTTCAGAACACTCATCTGCGGTCTCCTACTTACTTACTGCAATTGCTAATGCAACAGAAGAGCTTGAGATATTTGGGCCAGATAGCTTTCTGTGTCCAGGTGTGCCAAGGCACAGCTGGTATTTGTACCCCCTACCAGTTGTCTTGTGAAACAATGCTACTGTTTAAAAAGGGAGCTGGGGGGGGGGGGGGGCCCTGAGTGGCTCAGGCAATTAAGTGTCCAACATTGCTTAAGTCATGATCTCACAGATTGTGGGGTTTGAGCCCTGCGTCTGGCTCTTTGCTGACAGCTCAGAGCCAGGAGCCTGCTTTGGATTCTGTGTCTCCCCCTCTCTCAGTCCCTTCCCCACTTTCACTGTATCTGTCTCTCTTTCAAAAATAAAACGTTAAAACATTTAAAATAAAATAAAATAAAATAAAAAGGGAGCTGGGGTAAAATGCTTCTAGCTATGTAAATCCACTATCCAAAGTTGAAAAACATGGATGCTCATTGTTACTTGATGAGTCATTTGTATCCATTTGTATCTATCATTCGATCTTCAAATGTTCCTCATACATCCATATTTACCTTGGAATCTTTCTTCAAATATTCCTCATTAAGTGACAGAACAGATTTGCTTGTTAGCAAGCGACCGAAGGGAAGCTGGAAAATCAAATACCTGTGAGAGCAAGTGGTTGGCAAGGAAGACCACCTAAAGTAACAATTGCCTCAGCCTTTTCAGAATTCTAACATAAATACCACAGATATCTTAGGGAGGCTGGTAAGTTATATACTTCGAAGAAAAGTGTCAGGATTCTTGCTAAGTTTTTGTTTCATGAAGTGTTTTGCTTTGTTTTGTTTTTTAAGTGATGATTTTGAGCGCTGAAAGTTTGTGTATGAATGTCTATTAATAAGTCCCAGTAAGACTTTAGAGCTCTGATCTTTCTTTGCTTATTAAAGGCAGGTCTTGGCCTCATTATAATCAGTCTCTTGTATTACCTCTAGAGTGATTTTCCACAAAGTGTTATTGCTATGATATAAGGTTTTTCTTTCCTTGTTGTCCAAGTGTTAGCCAGAGTTGGCTGACATCAGAATTACCTGGGGACGTTTATTTATTTAGGTTTTTTGTTGTTGTTAATGTTTGTTTATTGTTGAGAGAGAGCGGGAACAGGGAGGAGCAGAGAGAGAAGGAGACACAGAATCCAAAGCAGGCTCCAGGAGGGGCTCAAACTCACAAACCATGAGATCATGACTTGAGCCGAAGTCAGACGCTTAATTGACTGAGCCACTCAGATGCCCCTATTTAGTTTTTAAAAATATGGAACACTTCAGGAATTTGAATGTCACCCTGACACAGGGGCCATGCTAACCTTCTCTATATCGGTCCAATTTTAGTATGTGTGCTGCCAAAGGGAACAGCACCTGGGGACATTGAAAAACAGTCCCCTGCAGTTCCCTCCTACCTCTGCTTTTGATTGAATCAAAATTCTCAGGGAAGTGAGTTCAGGGCTGGTTGAGTTGGTAGAGCATGTGACCCTTGATCTCAAGGTCATGAGTTCAAGCCCCATGTTGGGTTTAGAGCTTACTTAAAAAAAGAAAAATTTCTCAGGGGGTAAGTCTCTGGAATTTGTCTCTTTGCCTAGCTCCCTAGGTGATTCTCATAAAACCAGTTTATGAACTTTGGGAATTGTAATTATTTTACAGGCTTATCCTGTTCCAGACTTTTCTCACTCAGTAGGCCCTGAGCATGCCCTCAATTCCTCTTAAGTCTGGAACTTTCTAAGCTGTTTATATACATATAAAATAATTACATACATATATATAAAACAATTACATAGCATAAACATTATGTATATACGGACATGTCAAAGTTCTTGATGTTTATTGCCAAATTGCTTCCTAGAAGGTCTGCTTTGATTTAAATGCTCATCTTTTCCCCGCTTTTTAAAAAAATGGCTTTATTGACGTATCATTCATACACTGTACAATTCACTCATTTAAAGAGTGCAGTTCAGGGCCTTTAGTATATTCATAGAGTTTTGCAACTGTCACCACAGTCAGTTTTGGAATATTTTCATAACTCCGAAAAGAAATTCCCTACCTTTTGGCCATGTCATCCTAATTCCCCATCTCTGGCATCTCTTCTGCTGTCTTTCTCTGTTCATTTGCCCATTCTGCATAATTCGCACAAGTGAAATCATTTAACATTTGGTCCTTTGTGACTAGCTTCTTTGACTTAGCGGAGCACTTTGCACCTGGTCTTATCAGCTAGGCCATATCATAGTACTTTCCTTACTGGTGTCCACAAGTAATTCCATTTTTTTTTTTTAAGTTTATTTTGAAAAAGAGAGAGAGTACAAGCAGGGAAAGGGCAGAGAGAGAGGGAGACAGAGAATCCCAAGCAGGTTCTGTGCTGTCAGTGGAGAGCCCGATGTGGGGCTTGAACCCATGAACTGTGAGATCATGACCTGAGCCAGAAACCAAGAGCTGCATGCTTAACCAACTGAGGCGCATAGGCACCCCAGTTTAGTTTTTTTTTTTAGATTTTATTTTTATTAATTTTTTTTTAATGTTTATGTTTGTGAGAGGGAGAGAGAGAAAGAGCATGAGCAGGGAAAGGGCGGAGAGACAGAGAGGGAGACAAAGAATCTGAAGCGGACTCCAGGCTCTGAGCTGTCAGTAGAATGTCCAGTTTGGGTCTTGAACCCATGAACCGTAAGATTGTGACCTGAGCTGAGGTCAGATGTGTGTCAACTGACTGAACCACTCAGGCACCCCTTGTTTTATTTATTTTTAATGTTTATTTATTTATTTTGGGGGAGAGAGAGAGGAAGAGAGAGAAAGAGAATCCCAAACAGGCTGAGAGCTGACAGAGCAGCTCTCACGAATGAGGCTTTATCTCATGAACCATGAGATCATGTCCTGAGCTGAAATCAATCACTTAACCAACTGAGCCACCCAGGCACTCCATTTCTTCCATTTTTGATAAACACAGTCATAAGGAAGAGGAAATGTTTTCCACAGTCTCATACCTTTGGGATTGTCCTTACTTTCCTACCGACGCAACCAGCCAGGCCTTGAGGGATCAGATTCAGGGGAGAGGGGATGCATATGAAAATGAGCCCAGGCTTTCTCCACCTGCTTTTCCTCTTGGACCATTTTTTGGTTCTTGGGATGTATCAGGAGTCTGGGAAGCTGGTTGGAAGGGGCTTGCTGAGAAGTCTGAGAGGCAGAGAATCCAAAGAGCTTTAGGCAAGCTCTTGGGACTGGAGAGATAGATCTGAGTTGAAGGCAGTCAGAACAGGAGGGCCACCATTCCAGAGGCAAAGAACACACGGAGAGGTGAGCCTGAGGCTAGCACCGGCTTCCCTCTGGAGGTATTCACTGCCGAGCTGTGCTGGCCAAGGGACTAATAAGCACAAAAGCAACTGAGTAGAAGAGCAGGGATTGCGGGTAGCCTCACATTTCTGGGGAGACAAGAACTGGAACTCGGGGCCCACCAAAGAGGAAGCTCCCTAGGTAACACTTCAAAGTCTGTTGCAACTCCTGGAAGGTCAAACCTAGGGGCAGACCCAATCTTCTAGTTTCACAGACCGCAGGCCAGCCTGGGGTCAGCTCCCTGGGACTCAGTACCCTGTTCTCCCGCAGCCTGCCAGGGGATGGGTGGATGGTGGAAGCAAGATGGTGGCCACCTGGGGGAGAGGACACCATGAGGCTTTCAGGCAGTGGTGGTGGTCTGTTCCTTGATCCACCACCTTTACTGTGTGACCATCCCTCAAGTCGGATGCTAATGACTCATGCTCTCTTCTGCAGGCCTGTGATACACTCTGCTGCTTTGAGGTTTGCACCTAAAATCTTATGAGAGAATAGAGGACTCCTGATAGACTCTCTTTGAAATTGCTTTCAGATTTTACCAGCCAACTAGCTATTCTTTGTAAAAGGAAAAGGCAAACATCAAGGTTTCTCATTCTTTAGCACTCACACTGAGTGGTGGTTCCTTTTGAACTCTCAAGGATTTTAATGTAGACTTGTCAGGCTAAGACCCCCAACAACACTCTTAGCCAAGGTTTTTCTTTTCTTTGAGGAGGGAGGAGGACACATTGCCTGGTGGGAAGATTTCTGCATGGGAAGTAGAAGGGCAAAGGAACGTAGAAATGGAGTCGGAAAAGAAGGCCAAGGTTACCATTTCAGTTCTGCCTGATACCGCTTGATACACTTCGTTCCTTGTTCTTGTCATCCTGTGTTTTCTAGTCTTTAAAAAAAAAAATTTTTTTTTTTTAAACCTTAGTTCAGTTCTCTTGTGGTTACACAGTGTTGTTCTTGATGATGGCCAGAAACGAATTAGGAAAATGTCTTTAGGATATATTCTACACTCATTTTTAGACTGTAACACATGAGCCTTGTAGTGTTAAAAGTGCTGTTTATTCTGCAATTTGTCTGCCATCATCTGCTCACTTATCCAATTTTGGAAGTTTTTTCCTGGAGGTTTTTTTTTTTTTTTTTCCCTGATGGCATAAAATTTTACTTGAAGGTGTACCTGGTTGGCTCAGTCTGTACAGCATGTGACTCTTGATCTCAGGGTGGTGAGTTCAAGCCTCATATTGGATATGGAACCAACTTTAAAAAAAGATAAATAAAATAAAATTTTATTTGGAGGAGTTTTCCTGCAACCTTGAACTTTTCATCGTTTGCTGCACTCTTAACATTTATAACAAATGTTAAAAGTGAATGGCGTCAGTAAAAATACCTGGAGGAGCCCATTGTTATCATTCCTTCATTTTTTATCTTTACCCTTAGACCTCTCTGTTTATATGGAAATATTCCAAATCCGTAATAGCTTACTTAAGAACACTTTTTACGTTTGGAAACTAGTCAAAGGTTTATTGTTACTACGTCTTAAGTTTGTTGAAAGCTTTTATGAAAGTCTAGTTTCCTTCATTACTTTTTTCCGCTGCCTGCACCTCACTGGTTTCCCTGATTATTTACTTCCTCAGAAACCCTTAGTTCCTTAAGCATGTTTTCCTTAATTAATATTGTGTTTATTTTACTTCTGTGTGGAATTAAAAATAATATTTCAGTCCTGTGACTCCGCCCTCAAGCCTGGGTTTCCAGTAGCCCTTTAGCTTGGGGCAGAGGGGCACAGTAGGGTGGAGCAAATGGAGGGAGCTCAGGCTGACCAGACCCACGACTGGGCAAATTATGCCACCTCTCTCGCAGTCATTTCCTGCTCTGCGAAATGGCGCACAATGTTGCCTTAGTCTTATCCCAGGGTTGAGGTCAAGAGCGAATCGATAGTGGCTGTCAGGGCACTTGGAACCTTGCTGGACAAGGTCGTAATATTGTTATTTTAAACGTCTCATTTCTAGTTTTTCTCAATGTTCGCAATTTGTTGTGAATTTTTAAAATTGAGAAACTTACGTGACAGCTTATTTAGACTTCCTCTTTTCAGCAAGAATGGAGAAATTGTGCTGAAATGTGTATAATTTTGTTATTTGCCCATCACTACTTCCGCTACCATTTCCTGTTCATCCTTTAGAACAGGGTCCAGTAGGTTTTTTCTTTTCTTCTGAGTTCTAAAACAATTTTTCCCAGAAATCAGTTAAACGTAAAATCTCTCCTTGCCATTCCAAATGAGTGAACATAACAGAAGGCCTTTATTTTCACCTCTCTTGGCCTAATTTTTATAACTTTCAAATTTAATATGACACCTCAGTTGTGCAGTGGTTAACAGCTGTTCAGACCGCTTGTTTATGACTCTGTACTGTTGTTTTTAAATAACTTCATTGGGTTGTTGTGTCATTAAATTAATTCACAAATCGATAAGTGGTTGGGACGCCTGGGTGTCTGTCGGTTGAGTGTCTGACTTCAGCTCAGGTCATGATCTCGTGGTCCGTGGGTTCGGGCCCCACATCGGGCTCTGTGCTGACAGCTAGCTCAGAGCCTGGAGCCTGCTTCAGATTCTGTGTCTCCCTCTCTCTCTGATCCTCCCCTGCTCATGCTCTCTCTCTCTCTCTCTCAGAAATAAATAAAACATTAAAAATACATATTAAAAAAAACAAAAAAATTGATAAATGGTCATTGCTTAGACCAGTGACTATCGTATGGAAGGCACTCCATACACATGTCCTGTCCCCATGCTTGGCCCTGTGCGCGCTGCCACCCCCGGGCCACACCCAGGGCACAGTGCCAGAACCAGAGGGCTTTGGTTAACGGTAGATGCTCGTGTGGCTGGCGGGATAGGGAGTTTCCCAAAGCTTGCATTAAAAAATGTGGTGTAAAACCCAAGATGAATCAGGTCAGGGGTCTGAGATCCAAGAAATAAATCTAGAACCAGAGCCAGGGAGTTTATGAGCTAGGAAACCAGGAGGTGAGGAAAAAAAAGAGCAGTTGAAATAGGTCCACAGGGTGGCCTGTGCTGACTG